TAAGCTATGCAAACATTTCTATGTTAAGTCACAGGATATTCAAGGCAACCCTATATAGGAATGCATTTTAATCAAGTTCATATAGCAACTATATTAAAAGTTAATTCAACTATATTAAAAGTTAATCCAATGCGTGTCATTACAACGAGGGTACCGGTAAGACATGTATGTGTGTGTTGACCTGTGTGTTTGGTAGAGGCAGGTGATCCCAGGTTGGTGTATGTTGACCTGTGTGTTTGGTAGGGACAGGTGATTTGAGGTTGGTGTGTGTTGACCTGTGTGTTTGGTAGGGGTAGGTGATCCAAGGTTGTGTGTGTTGACCTGTGTGTTGGGTAGAGGCAGGTGATCCGAGGTTCGTGTGTGTTGACCTGTGTGTTTGGTAGGGGTAGGGAATCCCGGTTGGTGTGTGTTGACCTGTGTGTTTGGTCGAGGCTGGTGATCCCAGGTTGGTGTGTGTTGACCTGTTTGTTGGGTAGAGGCAGGTGATCCGAGGTTCGTGTGTGTTGACCTGTGTGTTTGGTAGGGGCAGGTGATCCCAGGTTGGTGTGTTGACCTGTTTGTTTGGTAGAGGCAGGTGATACCATGTTGGTGTGTGTTGACCTGTTTGTTTGGTAGAGGCAAGTGATCCCAGGTTGGTGTGTGTTGACCTGTGTGTTTGGTAGGGACAGGTGATCCCAGGTTGGTGTGTGTTGACCTGTGTGTTTGGTAGAGGCAGGTGATACCAGGTTGGTGTGTGTTGACCTGTGTGTTTGGTAGAGACAGGTGATCCCAGGTTGGTGTGTGTTGACCTGTGTGTTTGGTAGAGGCAGGTGATACCATGTTGGTGTGTGTTGACCTGTGTGTTTGGTAGAGACAGGTGATCCCAGGTTGGTGTGTTGACCTGTTTGTTTGGTAGAGGCAGGTGATACCATGTTGGTGTGTGTTGACCTGTGTGTTTGGTAGAGGCAGGTGATCCCAGGTTGGTGTGTGTTGACCTGTGTGTTTGGTAGAGGCAGGTGATCCCAGGTTGGTGTGTGTTGACCTGTGTGTTTGGTAAGGACAGGTGATTTGAGGTTGGTGTGTGTTGACCTGTGTGTTTGGTAGAGACAGGTGATCCCAGGTTGGTGTGTTGACCTGTTTGTTTGGTAGAGGCAGGTGATACCATGTTGGTGTGTGTTGACCTGTGTGTTTGGTAGAGGCAGGTGATTTGAGGTTGGTGTGTGTTGACCTGTGTGTTTGGTAAAGGCAGGTGATACCAGTTTAGTGTGTTGACCTGTGTGTTTGGTAGGGAGGCAGGTGATCCCAGGTTGGTGTGTGCTGACCTGTGTGTTTGGTAAAGGCAGGTGATACCAGTTTAGTGTGTTGACCTGTGTGTTTGGTAGGGAGGCAGGTGATCCCAGGTTGGTGTGTGTTGACCTGTGTGTTTGGTAGTGGCAGGTGATCCCAGTTTGGTGTGTTGACCTGTTTGTTGATAAGAGTCAATTGACATGGTAGGGTAAATGTCAAAACATCTGTCTTATTAATAAAATAATCCTGACAGCTTCTATTGGTATAATGATACATTGTACAGATAACACTAATCAGTAAAATTACCCAGACTGCAGCAGTCTGTACACCGAGACCTGTGTACCCAGACTGCCCTCATCAGATATTAAGTAGCTGCAATTACAGCAGCCTGATGTGGTTGTTATAATTATGTAGACTGTTCATATCTAACCTTACAACCTTAGGCCACTTACATGTACTCACTACACTGACTAGTGAGTCATAGGGATGGCATTCAAGGATATGGAAGCTGCGCCTTTCCTGAATGGAAGTTCTCCACTGGGTCGGGACAGATCACAGTTCGATGGAAAACAGGGAAAGGTGACCGCAGAGACATCAGTTGACTCATTAAATGAATCAAACATGTAAACCTTGCAATATTACACCAGGAATTGAGCTAAACCGCAAAAACCATTTCCCAGACTATCAAATTAATGAAAATAGAGATGTGTAGAATGGATTTATAATTCTCTACTATCATCCCAGAAACTCAAAAATGTTTATGTAATTGCTCTATCAGTTGTTTGTTAAACTTTGAACTCAATTAGGAGTTAGCCATTAGAAATCTGAAGATTGGGGTGGTAGAACTAATACGGAATTATTGTTTTTGTTTACTTAATTTTGAGCTAAGTGATACTAAAGCAGTTTATTTTCTCAGTCATGTGTGTGTGGAATTTTTTTTTGTAAATGTATTTTGAAATTTCTCTGCAGAAAAAATCCTCCAGTGTTTTTAATGGTTAACCCCTTAGTAATCAGAACATGTGCTGCATGAAAGGCAATTTTGTACGTGTGAAATATAATGTCATGTAGTAAAAATTGTGAATGCTTGTCCACATGACCCTGCAATCACGATCACTGTCATTGTTGACCTCAGTCGGCTTAGTACACAAGTGGCCCCAGTAAAAAAAAAAATATGAATTCAAATTTCCATACTAATTTGTTGGCGGGAATAAAATAGCCCACGAATGGATGTCAGTACTATACATATGTTTGCTCTTCTTTTCTATTTTGAAGAGCACAAACTGTGTATCCATGGAGACCATGTGTAGAGCCGCGGGCAACAACAGAATTTGCACTATAATGGCTTTTCATGTTGTACATGCCCAATATTGACCATGAACTAATTGAAGTAGGTCCCTATTCTGACATTTTAACTCAATTTTCAACGACTATCTTAGCAATTTATCGACTGTGTGTATACAACTAGTTTATAAAGCTTGATACCGATATACCCTTCAATGTCTTCATTCATTCACCAGTAGCGGACAAATTCTTTTCTCAACATGAATCCACGGCCTGCAATATCTTTAGAATTGCCACAATTTTCAAGAATGATATCCGACCCGTATGAATGCAGAACTGTCCTCATATCTCATTGACTGATCTTAGGACAATAAACTGAAATTAAAGTTCACCAGAGCATACAGTATATGCTCAATGAATGCCTTTGTTAGAATGGGACTGGAAACAATTACTACTAAATTATAATCTTTGAAAGCAGGGTAGAAAAAACACTTAGGGCCTCTAAACATGAAGTTTCTGCAATCACAGCAGGGACACAGAGAAGAGAATGCAAGTCACAGACTCATGGGTAGACATACTGAAGCAATTTATATTAACAAGATAGGATCGTTACACACATAATCACAAACTTTCTTTGGGAATTATCCTGTTACTTCCACTGACTGATACCTGAATAGATTTCTAGTGTCAGTTTGTTAATCAAGTTATAAAACACCCAAGCATATTGTGTTCATCATCTGTAATTTATGTGACGCGATGCAATCTGCGGTGAAATCGATGCGCTTCTTACTTAGTTGGGTTTAATTAGGCCTGTTCTGTTTCAATGACAATCATATCAAAGTCTACACCGAAAACAAACTCAACATACACCATTCTTATGGCACACATGATGGTGGAATCAACTACAAAGAAGCATACACATCATTTCAGACTACGTCAAACTTACCTAGTTTCTCTATTTCTTCAACTCTCGTTAATTCACTGTGTGAGAACCGCTGCGAGTCCATCAGAGTTCGCTGACTGTCAGACGAGGAAGAAGAGGAGTCTATTATTGTTTTTTGACTACTTAAAGAGGTAGGGGATGAAGCGGAGGGGGAAGAGCGGGAACTAGATTTCCTTTGTTCCTGTTTTCCTGACTTTTTGCGACTCTTCTTCTCAGCAAATGGAGGTCGAATTATCTCTTCCCAGTTCATGCGCTCTATTCCTGATTCCTTACTAACTACGCAGTGTTCTAGAACCATGCGGTTCTCCCCCGGGTTCACACTATGCAGCCATTCCATGGTAAATAATATCTCATAGGAGTCCTGTGGTATCAAGATACTGTGTATTCTCCCATGGTAAACATAAGTCAGTGCTAACAGTATAGTCCCCGGCACTGGTGATTTAAGCTGAAAGTAAAAGTCCCCGGACTGCAAAAGCTCCTCGCTGATTTCACCCAAGTGTACGATAATCCGGTCTTCGTAACAAATCGGCCAGCCTTCATCCTTTGGTTTCCGATTCCCACCAAACGTAATCTGGAGTTGTAACTGAAATATCCAAAGACAAACTAATAATCAGCAAAAACAGCAACTGATGTGGAGTAAACTCAAACTGGGAGAGACTTTCCGGATACAAAAAATTAAACTCTATGAAACTAGATGCTGAAATGCTGCTACCACAATTTATACATTTCTAGACCTTGGGAAGTATCTTGACAATGCTGTGCTTGACTCATTATCTTTTGGTGTAACAAACACAGAAGAGATAGGTTCTTTCATTTCATAGCATGTTACATTCTTCAAAGCTACTAATTAGGGAATGAACCATTTTACTTTTGGGGGTGAGGTACAATTTTTGCTTAGATTTAATGTAAAAGTAGCCGGTTGTTGGGTATATGTTTAGCACACAGCTTGACAGACAGCCATACTTGTAGGATGTCCCACTGAGTGCCAGTAAGAATAACACAGTGGAATATTCCCTAATTATAAAAATTAATTCAGGCTATATAGTACACTGTGTAGATACAGATCAACTATTAGAAGCGCATCACAGAAGTGCATACTGTATAACCCCAAATCACATTAAAATATTACTTTTTTGACCGTAGAAATATCTCTGTGATTTATTTAAGCGTGTGAACTATTGATAGAGCAAATAGGGTATATATAATTGTTTTTTATACTTTGGTATGGTTAAACAAATATTATAGTTAAATTTTCACATTATATTTTCTGGTGCGATTATCAACAAATCTTGTGTTCACAAACTAGACTTTATAAATTCTAGTTTAAAACAGTTTCTGTAAAAACAAATATTTCTGTTCATTTGTGACTAAAAATTAACACGGAAATTAAAGAATAAGACTGGGAAAGAGAATATATCTTTTCTATGGGATAATAGAATATAAATAAGAGATAACAAAAATTTTATTGACTATGCTCATTTGCATATGAAATACTTTCCAGAAAAACATTATCAAAGTATGCCATTGAATCAATGTGATGTCCATCACTTCCAGATAAGTTGTAATCCCAGATTTGGATTACTGCTCATGGTTATGAATATTCATTAACTGTGTAAATTTCTGGCAGCCTTGCAACCATTAAAAGTAGGACTTTGACCTCAATTATTCAAAAAAAAACTATTTTTTTTTTTTTGATTTCTGTGCCCTTTTGATGTCATTTTTGATGATTTAACACATATCCACAAAGCGTTTTTCTGATTGCAGTGCATAGGTTAAAAACTAGTGCTGTAGCGATTTGGTGGTTAGTTTTCAAATCTTTATTTCAATTGAAGAACATTACATTATCTTTTACATGACGCTCTTAAATCAAACGTGTTGATGTTATTTTAGAAAAGGTTTACTGACTGACAGGAAAATGGTGGCACTGGTAACAATTATGCATTTTATTTATCAGTCTTAAAATTTTAAAACACCGCAACTGGCTATCAACTCACGACACCCCCCTCACAAAAATAATTGAATTGGACCACCCCCCCCCACCCCCCGAGTGATACTAATGTTACAAATTCTCAGCTCTCTTAAAAAAAAAGCTTTGCTTTGTTCCTACAAATTCAGTGGAAACGTGATCAATGACTGGTGGCATTGAACTCATACCAGGTGATCATGGTGTCAGCCTGCTAGTATAACAATGCTACGTCTAAATACACAACTGTACCCTATAATAGTAAATTTACTAATACCAAGTGATAGGACCACCACACATGTACGCTGGCAAGACACACTGGGAAAACGAATCAAGTAGCCATAACAAAAAACAAATCCTCCATATGAAAATCTATATCGATTATTAAAAAACAAAATACCAAATTACACCTGAAAAAGGTTATGTTAAGAAAATTATGTTCACTAATTGCCTTGGGATATAGGAAAGACCTTGGCCTTTTTTCCAAAAGAGTGAATGCTTTGTTTGAATGGTAAGGCTATCTAAACTTATTAAAATCGGGGCGTGTTTCACTGATTAGCAAATGAAAGGTTTAAAAAAAAAATACCTCTTGCAAAGCATTGTATAACATAATAAAGAAGTAATTATATGTAACTATATGATTGTAGTAAACTGTTTCAGAGGTTGTACTTTTTAGCCTGGGAGGCCACTAACTTTCAAGGACAAAACTAATCGAAACTATGTTCAGGTTTCTAACTCCAGCCAGTTTCTCAAACGACTTGATGAAAAAAAGTAATGGAAAAAAAAAGAAGAAGAAAAAAATAGACAATAATAGGAGCCTAGCCCTTCAAGGCTTGGGCTGAGACCTCTGAAAAAGTAGTTTTGAAAATTTATATTGACATAAACTAATCGGTCTACAGTACATACTGAAATCTGCATCAGTGCACCAAGCACAATGATAGGCATCACAGGCAATGGGTATTCGTGGCCTACGTGAATTTTGCGTTCTGCTTGACACAATTTATCTGCTTTGGAAGAGTAGGTGAATCAAAAGCCAATTGTCATTGAATTGTTTCCCTGTATTTTGCATAATAAATCATTGATATTAAAAATGCAGAGATTAAATCCTAGCCAAAATAACCTAACACTGGTCTATATTTCACCATATAGTTCCATGATAATACACACGTATCTGTGGTGGTATGCCTGCAATGCATGAGGAATCCCCCCAAAGAAAAAAACAATTATGCATTATATGTCAAGCTTAGAAGAAAGATAAACAGTAAAAACTAGCCAGAAATGTCTCCTCCTAGAGTTGTCAAGCTCATACACATGATATATAGCACTAACCATCAAGGCTTGGATGGTGACCGGAAGAACATGCACAAAAGAAACCTTTGGACACTCACCAAAAAAGCTGCAACTGGAAAGATAAAGAGGTGCACTGGCTACTCACACGTCCCCCCATCAAAGAAATGAACTGAACACAGAACTTTTTTATGAACCAGTCCAGTCACAGTTGATTAAATCAAAACAAAGAAAGCATTGAGTTCAGAATTGGTCAGTCAGCACAAAACATAAACACTGGACAGGCGGGATTATATATGTCAAAGAAAACATTTGTGGGTCATACCAAATCAATAGAATGGTAGGGGTGATGCAGTGGACACGATTTGGGAGGGGAGAATTATAGAGGCCAGGTGTTTGCCATCATTTCAACAAGCACAACACTACTCAATAGTACGTAGCCCCTACACCAGTAATACCCGTGATACAGCTACACAGTATGCAATAGTGCAGTACCCCAATACTCGGTAGACCATGTCCAACAGTACACCAACAGTACCCCCAATACTGGGTGCCTAAAACCAACAGCACACTGTTTCAATCTAGAACATCCCACTACTCACAGATGGCAGTGATCTCAAGCTATCAGCTTATATCATAGTATTAGTAAAAATGAGATGATCCAATTCCCAGATTGTCAGACCACCCCCAAGTCTCCAAGTGGGACATCAGGAAACTAGAAGCACAGTATAAACATACAAATCACACCAGGATAGGCTGTGGTTTTTTTTAAATGTGTAATCACTTGTGCAGTGTATGGCACCGCCCCACAAATCATAGTCAGCTAGCGACTACAAGGCAACAATGGTCAACCATCTACATTCATATAGATTTAAAAGATACTATATATCACTGATCGAATATGGGCGTTTGTGCTTGATGTTACTCTGCGCAAGGTCACAAAAGCCTTTATTCAGTCTGTAATATTTTGATTACATGCCTCTCAGATTATAACACCATATTTGCACATTAGCAGCAAATAAAAAAAAAATTACATAAATAGCACAGGTGTCAAAGGTCAAAATAAATCATTTTAATAATCCGGTGTACAATAACTGTTGGCTTACGTGTGCTTTAAACACAGCAAATACGGTATATGCTAATTTTAGTCTCTGAAGCAATCACTAAAATATCTGTCAAAATTATAAGAGCGCTGCCATCTTGGACAATAGTTCTCAGTGTAGCAACGGTCTGTACAAGTGACAACGATCGATTGATACACGCTTCACTGGACCGCAGAATACCTGGGGTGTTCTTATTTTAAACCAAGCATTGAATTACATGAAAATAAAGGCATGCACAGTTATAAATTCCATAGGCCCTTCTCTAAGATTCAAATGACTACAGTCCAAAATTAAAAATTATTATAATTAATTAGAACAAAAATATTTTTATAAATGTGCAATCTCAAAACAAATATCCCTACAATGCCAAAGAAAAACGACATATTTCTCCATAATCCCTACCTAAATTTGATAAGGACTTGTATATAATGAGAAATATCCAAATTACCCTCAGTATAGACAATTACATTAAAATATGTGTAAAATGTTGTACCATAATGTTGGCATAAAATTAAAGATGTTGAAAGTGTAAGATATTTTGCATGCAGCTGTAAATATTGCATTGCATTTTATTTTGTTTTTTTAGGAAGGGGAGCCTGACTCTACAGTAAGGTCTTTGAAGAATGTAGGTCCAAAATGGAAGTTCAGGAAAGTGCTATGATTTAAATAATTAACATTCATAGCAAAATACAGATGTAATTATCCGCAAATATCACAAAGCAGTGGATATATTATATTACCGTGCACGGCAGTTGAAAGAAAAGGAAACAATATAGGTGGTAAGTCAAGTAAGAGACCTTTCGACTGTGTCTAAGTGTTTTCTACTATCATCAAGCAAACACATGTTGTATTTTAAAAGCTTTAAATAGATATAAGCTTATTGGTTGGTCTGTGGGAAAGTATACACCCAGTATTATCTCTAGACAGTTGTGATATAGTACATGCATGATAAACAGAATTGTTGTACTTGTCTTATACTTCAGATATACAGGAATTGGAAGTAGCTAAACATTTTAAGATTGAAAATCTTAGGCTCTAGTTCACTAGCGACCTTCAGTCCTCAATTTATCTTGTCTCGTACCCCCTCGCTTTCGTTTATCTGTAAAATTTTAATTTTAGGTTCAATTGGATTTGTATTTTAATAAATAAATATGAAATTTACCAAATGGTGTTAACAGAACTTTGAATATTATGTCTACAATATGTGCGCATTTGTGAGGATAACATTTT